ATAATATATAAAAAAACATAAAAAATACAACAAATTAAATTTTTCTACAGTCGTGCTCACGCTGCATACCGGTAACTAGTCAAGAAAACTATTTGATAATGCTGCTTACGAAGCACCGTATATTCACATTCTGTTTTTCCGATTACAACGATGTACACCCACTTATTAGTATTCATTCAAAATGATAGAAGCGAACGGTAAAATTTAGCCCCACTAAAATCCTACTGAAAACACACGTGTAAGTTTAGGACGTGACTAGATGCCCGGTGTCTAATCTAGTGCAAAAAAATTGGATGTTTAAAATATTGCGGCTGACCATTAGTGGAACATCAAGTTATACATTGTTAAAATAAAATAGTCATATAAATATTTGAAAAATATGTGAAACACAGTAACATATATGTTGAATATTTTTTCTATCAAAATACCATTATATGATATCTTAAATATTTAATTACAATGTATACAATAGTGTAAACTAATTATGTACCGGATAAAGCTGTGTTTGCAATCCCATGTTCCCAATCCCTCTTTTGTTTTTCGCGCGCACGCTTTTTAAACTACTAAAATGTGCGTTTCTTACAAAGAGTTTCTATACGAAAGTTGCTTAAAAAATCATATTGATCCATTTTTTAAACAAATTAGCAAATACTTAATTAATCACGCGCTAATGGACTGCTCAGTTCTCCGTGCGAGGAGTTTAGTTCCCAACTTCCCATATCCGAACACAGCCTTAAGTTAACGAAGATTCATGCATGCAGGAGGGGCTGGCCTGGTGAGCTTTGCACAAAGAGAACAGGAGGTGCATGCATGTAGTGCACATTTGGTCCAAAAAAAAAATGTGCACGCACACGCAGCAACAAACCAGTAGAAACATTTTCCGCGTCTTTAACATGAACCTAATGAATAAAGTCATATACTCCATTCCTAACCCAATGACTAGTATGATATCCATAGTATTAAATAAGCTACCACCTAAAATAAAAAATGATATGGCAATTGAGTAAATGAGGAAAGAGAAAAAAAGCAGGTCTTGCATGAGATATGGTTTCTACGCAACATTCAAGACATTATATGAAATAAATACATTAAATTTAAGTATGGAAAGATGGTGTTCGCATTGAAAGAGTAGTGTCTAGTATTAATTTTTTGATAATGTGAAGTTTTATAGAAACTATGTCTAGTGTCTTGGGCTCTCACCATGGTGTTCAGAACTAGTGATCAATCGCATTTATAATCGAATCCGAGAGATACATTTAATAACAGTACATAGTTGGACGAATTCTTATCTTTGAACTGAAGATAAATCTCTTTTAAATAAACACTACCTTGACAAGCAAACAATAAATAACTACTAGACTCTGTCTGTTGTTACAATCAGCTGTTGTCAATATATATGTTGAATATTTTTTTAAAATTTTTTATAATCATTTAGTTAACATGTAATAAACGAATGAACGTCTATCCGAGTGATTAGAATCATCTCACAAGTCTTACCTAAACTTTTGCATCGTAAATTGCATAAGAGTAATCTACAATATTTCCTTTTCACCGAGTAATCTATCACTATGGTCAAATCCTATAGCGAAGAGACTAAAACCTTGTGGTCATCTCGCTCGAGGAGTGTCAGAGATATTACCAGCTACCGACGACGCAACAGCCAACAGAGCATGAGTTGCCCATCTGATTTTGCATCAAAGCCAGCATGTTACAGCTTAGATGAGCTTGTGATAGCTCTGGGAGTGGCATGGCACCGTCTAGCAACTGCACGACTTGCCGTATGCCCGGACGAGCACTGGGCAGAGGATGTAAACAAAGCAAGCATAGTTTCAGCACCAGGCTTGCTTCTTCCACGGCAAAGTCGCCTTGCAGCGGTGGGTCCACAGCGTCAGTGACCGTCCCTTGCCGCCAATGCTCCAGCACCATGTCCACCAACAAGAGGTTACCGCCGTGTTCGTGTCTTGTGAGACAGGCCTCCGTCCGCAAGTAACCTCTAGCATGAACACACCGAAGGCGAAGATGTCGGATGCCTTTGATGGCCTGCCAGTGTGCCCTAGCTCGGAGGCTAGGTACCCTATTGTGCTGACCACGTGTGTGTGGTGTGTGGGTCGGTGCCACGATCATATAACCTTGCAAGGCCAAAATTACCTAGTCGACAGTTCATTTCGGCATCCAACAACACGTTGCTTGTCTTGATGTCTCGATGTAGAACGACTTGTTCCCAATCCTCATGGAGATACAATATATACTCGATGCGATGCCTTTGATGATTCTAAACCTTTGAGCCAAACTCATGATTTTGCTGTTCTCAGCATACAGATACTTATCAAGACTATCATTTGGCATATAATTATAGACTAACAGTAGCTTACCCATCCGCCAGCAATATCCAAGCAACTGCACAAGGTTCCGGTGCCGAAGTTGACCAATACTCCCTCCGTCCCAAAATAAGTGTAGTTTTGCATTATTCATCTCTAATATTTGACCGTTCGTTTTATTTGAAAAATTTTTATGATTACTATTTTTATTACTATTAGATGATAAAATATGAATAGTACTTTATGTGTGACTAATTTTTTAAAATTTTTTCATAAATTTTACAAATAAGACGGATGGTCAAACGTTGGACACGGATTTCCACGGCTGCACTTATTTTGGGACGGAGTTAGTACTAACCACCTCGGCAATAAACTCCTTCATTCCCTGCCTCTATAGAGATGAAGCCCAAGCCCTTCAAGGAGTGCTTCATCACTGCTATCAATTTTCACTGCAAATTCCTCGTGCTTGCTGCTACCCCTACATACAGAAAAACACACACACACACACACAAACACCTGACCTGCTTATTCCCTTCATCCGTGCCAGCCGACTGCTATGGCGGCATGTTATTCTTTTGTTGTATGTTTTCTTCTTCACATGCACTTCTATAAACATATCATTGGAGTATGAGACTCATCATTGTGCCACAATAGCGTATCATATAATCATGTGATTGTTCAAGATGTTATTCAAATTCGTTCAAGCTTCTCCTGAGCGGCACAAGAAACTCAGGATAGGAGCTTTACCCTTACCGTACTGATGATGATTGCTCAAAAAATCAGACATACAGGGTGTGTTTAGTTCGCGTCAAAATTGAAAATTTGATTGAAATTGGAATGATGTGATGGAAAAGTTGAAAGTTTGTGTGTGTAGGAAAGTTTTGATGTGATAAAAAAGTTGAAAGTTTGAAGAAAAAGTTAAGAACTAAACCAGGCCTGTATATGGTTCTCCCTTGTGTCAGTTAGTAGTTCTTGCCAACACAAGTGCACATTTGCGTGTGGCAGTTTCATGGCAGAGCGTATATGCGAATGCGATCCACGGTTTTGGGTAATATTATCTAGCTTTTAATAAGAGGATGGATGTGCTGCTTCATTACATATTCTATTTTTATTCATCTATCAACAAGGCTGTGATCACACACTTTCTATTTTGATACCATTGTACAAAATGAAAAAGGGTAGGTAGGTGGCTTCTATTATTTGCGAGTTGTTGACCTTGGCCATTATATTTCTTAGCTGTTTTATGTTGCAGTGAATTAGGATTCAGGGTCAAATCGTATATATGGAACACCATTCTTGCGGTATTCCTATATCCTATATATAAATAGTTTAAGTTTCACTGCCGGCCTTTTTTTCTTTTCAGCAAAGTTAGCTTCAGTCAACTCTGTTCTGAATTGGTTTGTTAAGTACTAGATGGACCTTATGGATCATTGAATTCCACGGAAATACACTGAAACTGATGAGACGTGAGACTAAATCACCGACTAGTCGACTACTTTTCGTTCGGCCATTAATTGAAGGCCATATTTATTCGGGTTAATTAGATTCGTAACATTAAAAATTGTCGGTTTGGAAATATATCATTACTATTTATGTATTTGTACCGATGCCATTGATGCTGGTTTGTAATCTCAGTGATGCCACTAAGATACGTATTTTTGCATGTATTAAACAAAAATACCCTCATCTTCTACCTCTCTCTCCCCTTGTCCTCTCCTCTTTCTCTGCTCATGCTCCTCTGCTCCTGTTGTTGGCGATGCTTCTCTACTGCTCTCTGATTGGGTCGACCCGTCTGCATCCGCCGCCGGAGCTCGCGGCACTGGACAACACCGTGCAGGTCCACCGGTGCTCTTCACGAAGGCCGTCCTCACTGCGTCGGGCTCGGGCATCGAGGTGGCCATCGGTGACGAGGTGGATCAAGAGGCAGTTGCTGGACCAGAGAAGGCAATGATGGCGCATCGGGCAGCTGCGAGCGTGGTGAGGGAGGTGCAGGAGCTCGTCAGAGAGGAGAAGTGGCCACTCTTCACCGCTCTTTCCTTGGTCCTTTGCTGCTTCGGCATTGTCGTGGCCATCGCCCAGGGCTCCTTGCTGCGAGGAGAGGCGGACGGATCTAGGATACCATCATCACCATCTCCATCAAGCATCGGCCTCCATCTTCCCCGTTTCCACCTTGCTAGCCGCAGAGAGGGACTAGGGGAGGGAGGAGCCACATTGTCGGAGTAGTTGGAGGAAGATGCCATCGGCGATGGGGACTGAGGGCCCCATGGCAACGTTGTCGTTTGTGTGGAGCTCTGCGTAGGAGGACGCCAGTGGCGGCACGAGGTGCAGGGAGACACGGACATCCTGGCTTAAGGAGCACCGGAGAGGAAGGAGATGGCGGGTGCGGTGGCCTTGTCCATCGTTGGTCACGCTTGCCGCTGCCGTTGCTAAACTATCGCCTGTCTCTCACGCCATGGAAGAGAGGAGGAAGGAAAAAGGGAAAGAAGGAAGAAGGGGAAAAGCCACAGGTTGGTTCATTTTTTTTTAAATGAATCCAAGGGGTAAGTAGTGGCTATAAGGGGTAAGTAGTGGCATATCTCAAATATGTGTAAAATTTCAATGGCACGGTTCCAAATACTATTTTGAAACCAACATATTTTTAATGACATTGATCCAATTAACCCATATTTAGTTTGTTTATGTGTTGCTTGAATTTTATGCTAACATGCTAGTAGTATCCATGTTGTCAGGTCATTCTGTTGATAAATTTTCGAGGAGTAATCTTCCAGAAATGGAGAAGCGCAAGTAAGTAGCCAGTCTCCTGTTCTCAGAAGCTGGTTGAATTTGGAAGCCTGAAAAGCAGTGGTAATTGCAGGTACCTGGTTCCATGTAACATGCCAGTTGGGCACTTTATTTTCATACTTCATTCCAGGCTACATTTGCCTCCAGGAACAGCGTTGTTTGTGTTTGTCAACAACACTTTGCCCCAGACTGGTGAGTTTTGCATATGAAGTAGTGTTTTTTTTTTGTCCCGCTTGAACCTCTGTTGAAGCTTCAGACATACAATTTTGTTGTGGCTGCAGCTCAGCTGATGGGCAGTGTGTATGAGTCATACAAAGATGAGGGCGATGGCTTCCTCTACTTGTGCTACAGCAGCGAGAAGACATTCGGTTGACCAACTCCTCCGTGGAGATCTGCTTTGCTGTAGGTTTACCTCGGGCGTCAATAATATATGCATGTATATATATTAGTATGATTAGAAATTACAATGATGTGTTTTATATACTGTACATTGATTGATGTGAATGAAGTGTTACAAGGAGGAGGAGAAAAGGTTCATACCGAACTTAATTATCCCACCTAAATTTGTGAGGCAAATTAAGAAGAACATAGGCCGTGTTTAGTTGATTAGGTGTAAAAATTTTAAAGTATACGGATATATATTTAAAATATTAAACATAGACTAATAACAAAATAAATTACAGATTCCGCATGTAAACTGCGAGACGAATCTATTAAGCCTAATTAATCTGTTATTAGCAAATGTTTACTGTAGCACCACATTGTCAAATCATGGCATAATTAGGCTCAAAAAATTCGTATCACAATTTACATGCAAACTGTGCAATTGGTTTTTTTTCCGTCCATATTTAATGCTCCATGCATGTGTCCAAATATTTGATGTGATGAAATTTTTGGAAGTTTGAAGGGAACTAAAAACACAGGCATAGATCACTCATTTTCAAAGCAGGATACAGAGAATTTAAGAGTTTAAATTTCCAAAGAGCTTTGTCCGAGCAGGCGAGCACTCTATCATAAGCTTGCTTGTACATACAATGCTTGACTTCAACTTGGAAAATGGCATCCATGTATATATGTGTATGTTTTATCGGAAAAGCGAACGCGCGCGTGCGCGTTGGCGGCGAGAGTTTCCGATAGTTTAGCTTAATTAACTAAGTGATTAGTAGATAATGACGGTAATTAAGATATGATTTTCTTTTGTCCGGAAGATTTTTTTACTAACCGATTGAAAACTTTTGAAGCAAATTTTAAAAACTTTCAAAACTCAATTTGAAAATTTTTAACTCGAAATTTAAATGTGTAAGATAAATTTTGAAAACTTTCAACCCAGATTTGAAAACTTTCATCTCAAGATTTGAAAACTTTCAAGTACAGATTTGAAAATTTTTTAAGTTAAGATTTGAAAAAATATGAAAACTTTCGACTCTGATTCAAAAACTTTCGACTCAGATTCGAAAACTTTTGACTCAAATTCGAAAACTTTTGACTCGGATTCGAAAACTTTCAACTCGAATTCGAAAACTTTCGACTCGAGATTCAAAAACTTTCGACTCGAATTCGAAAACTTTCGACTCAAGATTCAAAAACTTTCCACTCAGATTCGAAAACTTTCAACTCAAAATATTTTGAAAAAAATAAGTGTGCTAAAGATTAAAAAAAGTAATAAGAAAAAAAATGAAAAATACCGAAAAAAACGCAAAAGAAAAAAGAAAAAACAAATCGCGAAAAAAAAGAAAAAATGGCTGATGGGCCGGGAGGCCCGGGAGCAGCTGGCGCGTGCGCCAACTAGCAATCCCCATGTTTTATATACTAGTAATAAGTACTCTAGTTTAATTTGAATAGTCCACTGATCTCATAAGTTTGATTTAATTTTCAGGAACGAACAATGCAAGGCGTGCATGCATGTGCTAATTTGAGATATATGACCGGATGGATCTAGTCTTAGATCATGCATGCATCTAGCCGGTCCTGAAATATACTGTATATATATACGGAAATACTTCGTAGTAGGAGTCATGCATGTGCGGATGGCGTCATTGCTTAGCTTAGCAATAGCATCGATTAGAAAAATCCAGGAACAACACATCCAGATGAAGATCGATGCAAGTGTCATGACGACGACACAACTTGTTAATTTGACCTGTAGCCCCATCATGTACAAATCGATCGATCGAGTTGTTTGTATTTTGTCCACGCAATATGTATATGCCCATAATAATGATATATAGTATATGTTATCAATTAATTGTCGTTTTGTCAACAAAGAAGGAAAAAAAATGGAAGTTGCTCTGGAGCAAGCAACACATGTTTTTTTTAGAGCTTTTTTACGGTCCTCGAGGCGGTATCATGAGATAGCACTTTTTCTATTGTAAATTAATTTGGTATCTCTTGGTATCTAGGTACTACTCCCTCCGTTTCAAAATGTTTGACACCGTTGACTTTTTAACACATGTTTGACCGTTCGTCTTATTAAAAAAAATTATGAAATATGTAAAATTATATGTGTACGTGAAAGTATATTTAACAATGAATCAAATGATATGAAAAGAATAAATAATTACTTAAATTTTTTGAATAAGACGAATGGTCAAACACGTACTAAGAAGTCAACAGTGTCAAACATTTTGAAACAGAGAGAGTATGAGTTATCATAAGGTACCAAATTTTTACACTAAATTTTTACACTAAATTTTTGGTATCTCATGGTACATCCTCAAACATAGTAGAATTGCTCGTTTTTTTATGTATGGTTGGATGACGTCGATCGATGCTGGCTGTCAACAACAATCATCAGTATAAATAATTCAGTACAACTGAAATTTCTCCTCAACGTTTAGCGGCAGCAGCATCCAGAAATTAAGATGAGCCAATTAGAGGTGGTTGAGATGGAGGACAAGAAGCAGCAGCAGCAGCAGCAACGAGAAGAAGCAGAAGCAGAAGAAGAAGCACCAGTAGTGCCTTCATCGTTGCGAGCTGCGGCAACCTGCAGGAGCCTGTCGTCCTTGTCGTCGTCGTTGCGGTGGGATCATCGTGGGGACGACGACGAAGAGGAAGCTGAGCTGAGATGGGCGGCCATCGAGAGGCTGCCCACCTTGGACAGGATGCGCACGTCGGTGCTGTCGTCGGAGGCGGTGGACGTGCGGCGGCTGGGGGCGGCGCAGCGGCGGGTGCTGGTGGAGAGGCTGGTGGCCGACATCCAGCGCGACAACCTGAGGCTGCTCCGCAAGCAGCGGCGGAGGATGGAGAGGGTGGGCGTCCGGCAGCCGACGGTGGAGGTGCGGTGGCGCAACGTGCGCGTGGAGGCGGACTGCCAGGTGGTTTCCGGCAAGCCGCTGCCCACGCTCCTCAACACCGTGCTCGCCACCGCGCGGGGGTTGAGCCGCCGGCCGCACGCGAGGATCCCCATTCTCAACGACGTCACCGGAATCCTCAAGCCTTCCAGGTACTATTGATATTAGCCTCTCATGCATGGTCATCGCGAGGTGATCGATCATCCATCGAGATGTATGTGTTGTGTGCAGGCTGACCCTCCTCCTTGGACCTCCCGGCTGCGGCAAAACCACCCTCTTGCTCGCCCTTGCAGGAAAGCTCGACAAAAATCTCAAGGTTATTTACTTCTTCATTCCCAGCCAATTGCATGTGATCCTTCCACCAATTAAGTATCTAATCACAAGTAACCAGCCTACTAGCTGCAGCGACATATTTTGATCATCAATAATCGGCTACTCACTGTATTATCATATCATCGCATTGCATAATGCATTTTGCATTGCAGGTGACCGGTGAAGTTGAGTATAATGGTGCCAATCTGAATACCTTTGTTCCAGAGAAGACATCAGCTTATATTTCTCAGTATGATCTTCATGTCCCTGAGATGACTGTCAGAGAGACACTTGACTTCTCTGCAAGGTTTCAGGGCGTTGGCACTAGAGCAGGTATATATAGCACATTTAATTATCTGTCTCATGTTTGTTTACTTACTCAACTTAACCAAGTGTCGTTATTTTTCTTGTGCAAACTAGAGATCATGAAGGAAGTCATTAGGAGGGAGAAGGAGGCCGGGATTACCCCTGACCCTGACATAGATACATATATGAAGGTAAACATTAACCACCCATTTATGTATTCTTTTTTTTTTCTTTCCCCTTGTCTCTGTTATAGGAATGCTTTCTTTTGTCATCTCTATCTATCTATTATATTATTAAAGGAATAGAAAAAGAAACCTCCACGTTCGCTCTCATGGCCTAGAAATTCTCACATTAATCGGAGAAAAAGAAAAAGCAGAGTCCATATAGAAATACAATTTAGAAATAGCTGAATTTCGGAATTAAAAAATAAGGAATATTAGAAGAGGAGACTAGAGTCCATATAGAAATACAATTTAGAAATAGTTCAAATTCGGAATTAAAAAATAAGGAATATTAGAAGAGGAGACTAGAGTCCATATAGAAATACAATTAGGAAATAACTAAAATTCAGAATTAAAAAATAAGGAATATTAGAAGAGGAGACTAGAGTCCATATAGAAATACAATTAGGAAATAACTAAAATTCGGAATTAAAAATAAGGAATATTAGAAGTAGAGTATAGAGTCCATATAGAAATACAATTAGAAAATAACTGAAATTCGGAATTAAAAATAAGGAATACTAGAAGTAGAGTACAGAGTCCATATAGAAATACAATTAGTAAATAACTGAAATTCGGAATTAAAAATAAGGAATATTAGAAGTAAAGTATAGAGCCATATAGAAATACAATTAGGAAATAACTGAAATTCGGAATTAAAAATAAGAAATATTAGAAGTGGAGTATAGAGTCCATATAGAAATAAAATTAGGAAATAATAGAAATTCGGAATTAAAAATAAGGAATATTAGAAGTAGAGTATAGAGTCCATATAGGAATTTAAAACTAACTAAAATTTGGAATAAACATAATAAAATTAAAAGTAGAGTTTAGAGTCCGTATAAAAAAATAATTTACAAATAACTAAAATTCGAAATTAAGAAAAACATGGGAAGAAGAGTTTAAAGTCAATATAGGAATACAATTTAGAAGTAACTGAAATTCGAAATTAAAAATTAAAGAATATTGAAATATGAGTTTAGAGTCCACATAGAAATACAATTAGAAATAATGAAAATTTAGAAATAATAATAAATAATATTGAAAGAAGAGCATAGAGTCTATATAGAAATAAAATTTACAGAAAATTCGGAATTAAAGAAAAGAAATATTAAAAGACGAGTCTAGAGTCCATACAGGAATATATATAATTTACAAATAACTAAAATTTGATATTAAAAATAATTAATAACTAACACGTATATAAAATAAAATATAAATATTACACATTAGTAGTTTTGTAAAGTTATTGCAAAATTTAAAATTATGTTGTCATTTTAATATATTTGAATAATAAAATGATAAAACATATATGCTATTATATAAGAGAAAATATAACGATGCTAGCCGCGTAATCTTCGCGGGCCACCATGCTAATTATATTATTAAGACAGCTTTGAAAAGAGGCACCACGTTCGCTGTGGGGGCTAGAAATTCTCACATTAATCGGAGAAAAAGAAAAGGAGAGTCCAAGTAGAAATACAATTCAAAAATAGCTGAAATTCGGAATTAAAAATAAGCAATATTAAAAGAAGTATCCATATAAGAATCCAATACGAGATTAGTTAATATTCGGAATAAAAATAAAAATAAAATCTGAAATTAGCAAAAAGAAAAGAAGAGTTCAAGTAGGAATACAATTTAAAATCAACTGAAATTCATAATTAAAAATAAGCAATATTGAAAGTCCATATAAGAAGCCAATACGACATTAATTAAAATTCATAATAAAATAATATCCAAAATTAGAAAAATGAAAAGAGGTTTCAAGTAGGAATACAATTTTGAAACAACTGGACTTCAAAAAATAAAAATATTAAAAAGAACACTATACGGTATTAATTAAAATTTGAAAAAAATAAATTCTGAAATTAAAAAATAAAAAAGATTTCAATTAGGAATACAATTTATAAATAACAAAAATTGATGATAAAAAATAAAGACTATTGAAAAAAAAATGACCATCTAAAACACATGACGAGATAAATTAAGTAACAGGCCTATAAAAGAATAGAGTGGTGGCGGTTGATACGACATATAAAAACTGTTAGTAAAGCACCAAATTGAATCCTAATGATGATTAAAAGAAGGGACGACAGGCAGGCCGTGAAGCAAACGGGTAAGGCAGTTGCCGGGACTTGTAGAAAGTAAAAAAAACCCATTGATAATCATATTCGATTTTTAAAATCTTAATGACAGCAAAAAGGAGAAGTAGCGTGCAGCGTGTATAGGAGTACAGTTGCAGAGCCGCCGATGGTTGGTGGGACTTCTAGAAAATAAAAAATGAATTCTAATGATAGTTATGTTCGATTTTTAGAATCCCAATGACAATAAATAATAGGCGGCGGATGGGCCGTAGAGAAGTATAGTGGCATCGTTTGACGGGGCTTCTAAAAATTATAAAAAATGAAACCCAATAAAAACTACAAGGTCCAATTTTTAAATATTCGGAACTACTAAAAAGTAAAAAAAACAATGCTAATCATGTTCGATTTTAAAATCTCAATGACAATAAAGAAGGGAGGCAGCGGACGAGCCATAAAGGAGTACAATGGCAAAATTGCTGAAGGTTTGGCGAGACTTATAGAAAGTAAAAAATGAACCGGAATGATAATTATGTTCGATTTATAAAATCCCAATGATAATAAAGAGAAAAGACAGCGGACGGGCCGTAGAGGAGTATAATTCGTTTGACGGGACTTCTAGAAATTATAAAAACGAAACCCAACGAGATAATAAACTCAAAAAACTATATAAGATCCAAATTTTAAAGGTTTCAAGGAGAATGAATAGAAATAGTGGTAGACCGAGCAAGAAAATAAAGAAGGATATGACAGAAGTAAGGGGTAGCAGCTGGTGTGACTTTTAAAAACTATATAATTAGAAATACGGGGATAGCTATTTAATAAATCTTAAGTAAAATCATACTGAAATGTTCATGATTCCCATTATCAAGAATAGGGTTAATCCTAAATGTAGGTGCAGATAAGAACTAGAAAGCACCATTGCATAGGGAAGTTCTTTGAGTAGTAAAAACTCTCAAATCGAATAAAACTCTTTAGCAATTGGTCTGACAGAACGGATGGTAAGGTGGGGGACCCATACCTTTATTCTATTCCCGTGCTTAGAGCGAGTGAATGTTTGGATCATATGCTGCCTTGCCTGATCTTACTAGAGTGAGTTTCCTTCTCTAACGAGATGATGCATATTCTCAGTCTGGACTATTCCCAGATTTACGACCAACAACTAGTCTTATCTTAGTCCATGGAGAGGAAAAAGCAAACGAAGCATGCTTCTGTCGCTCCATCCCCGTATGGGTGGAGAACCCGTCGCTGTCTCGGCTGTGCTACCGGAGGCTCTAGGAAAGTCGGAGGAGAGAGAACTCGGAGATTCGTGCTGGAACGCCCACTTTGCATTTTAAAGAAAAGGTACAAAAACATATTTATTCCGAATCAGATGGGGAAATGCACTGGAGTACCGATGTTTATCATGCGCCCGAATATCAATATGGTAATCTTCGTCGATTTTGTGCCGCTACGCACATAGATACCAAAGGTAAATCTACACGGAATGTGGTGTAAATCTACATAAATAAGAGATAAGTAACCCTATTGTCTCTTCTCCATTTGTATATGGTGAAGAATTCAGTCTACATGCAGTGTTGAATGACGAGTCAAAGTTCACCGGTTTCGGCCTGTGATTTATAAATAGCTTCGGCACAAAAGACAAAACGGTCCCTCCAACGCCCGAATCCTTGTAGTACTAAGTCGTGGCTTACAAGCTAGCCCCTACTCCTTGTTTGGGAAAGATCTATATGGTTTACCAACCTGGCATAGACACTAGATCCTTTTTATCAAGCACGCTACTGGCGCTTCCAAAGGCGAAGCTCTCGTCTTTGGCGACCAGCAAACTCTGGGCTAAAACCTGTAGTTTTGAAGCAAGGGATGAGCGCGAAAGCCGTTGCGCTTCCGTACACGCGCATACGTTTTCTTGCTCCGTCGCGCGTTAGTAAAATAATGCGCAGCCGTTTTCTTGCTGGGCGGGACACGGATTTCTGCAAGTACAGGTACAACCACAACCGCTCGGGAGTTCCATGGTTCTAAAGGAATAATTCCTTTCCCATTTCCCTTTTGAGACAATTATACGTTCTAGAAGGCAGTTCTAATTGATCAATAAAAATACAATTCAATGGAATTCTTTTTTTGTTTTTCTTTAGATTAGTGACTGCGGAGGAAATTAGATGAAGTACTCCAGATACAAAGTATGGAAAAGTATCTAGAACTTCTCCCCCGGGCCCTACTCCCCAACCTAGAGTAGCTAAGTGCGGAAGTAAAAGCAGCCCCTACACTTCTATGGGTTGTTCCAGCCTCTGCTCAGTATTCCGCAATAATATCGCACAATCCTCTAGAATAGTCAGGCCGCATTTTCGTTTTTTCACTCAAACTCAAAGGGTAAACTTTGCTTCTTATCTTTTTTTTTGAAGATCGACGAATCAAATGATATTTCTGTTCTAATTTCTGCCGCTTCCTCTCTCTCTGAATCAAACTTTTTTTTTTGCCATAATGTGCCGTTCCTACTATCTACCAAGTATACGGTTCTAATCCTAGATGGAAAAATAATCTACCAAGTATACGGTTCTAATCCTAGATGGAAAAATAAATAGAAAAAGAAATCTAAGAAGGTAGATCCTCCCCCTCCATCAAGAGTAATGAACTAGGTGCTGATACAGTCGTCTAGAAGAAAAACGGAAATTTCGTTTTCATGATGGTATGACAGAACGACAATTACTTAGATATGTACATATTGCTGGAAAAGCAAAAGGGTTACGAGGAAGGGCGTAGCAAGCGACGAAATGCTTCGGGGAGTTGAAAATAAGCATAGATCCGGAGATTCCCAAATAGGTCAACCTTTTGAACTGCCTGCTGAATCCATGAGCAGGCAAGAGACAACCTGGCGAACTGAAACATAAAAGCCTTAGAATTCATTCATAAAATGACAATGAACAGTCTTTATGGCTGTTTTGCTATATCGCCTGAAAGCACTATGACCGTTAAAGATATGATTTTGTTTGGGTGCTAGCCGCGCAATTGCGCGGGCCACCTAGCTAGTTGTGTAAAAGAAGCCAATAGTGATGGTGGTGACTCTGCCACTCCCACCACCTCTCGAGTTGAAGGGACCTTTTGAGGACAAATACATATTTGTGTGTGTAGCTTAATATGTTATGAACTGATATTTGATTAGGAATTATATAAGACATTTCAAATTTAAAACTTATAACATACTTTTTAAATTTCATTGCAACACATTGGTATTTGGATAGTGTATCTAAACAACAGTGAAAACTTGTCTCATTTTCCTCATTCAGTTTGGTGTTGGAAAAAATAGTTTGGTGTTTAGCCATTTGTAATCTAAATGGCATAAGCTCTACCATTACAATTCAATTAGGTATTTTTGTATTTTTGTAGGCAATATCTGTGGAAGGCTTAGAAAGGAGCATGCAGACAGATTACATTATGAAGGTAACTGGTCCAATGAAGAATGCTCAGTCCAATGATCAATGCTCAGGGATCTTAGTACATAACTTTTTAACCTTATGTATAATCTATCTCTTGCTTAATAGATTATGGGACTTGACATTTGCGCTGACATAATAGTCGGAGATATAATGAGAAGAGGTATTTCAGGTGGTGAAAAGAAGAGACTAACCACAGGTGATTTAACCGTGTATATATACCAATACCAGGATGGCGTTTGTATCATCTCAATTGAAATATAGTTGTAATTAAATTAAAACACTCAATTCAACAACTAAAATTCCGCAATTATGTATGGGAGGATCTACACCCTTGTAAATTCCAATGCTAAACATAATACTATAGAACTACACTCTAGCTAACCAACAAATACAGGTAGTGTTCCAATAAAAAAACAAATATAGGTAATGTATACTTTCTATTCACAAAAACATGTATGCTAGCCACCTAACTAAAGGTATCAGGCTAGCAAGTTTTTTCCAAACAAAAAACAAAAGGAATAGGGTTATCTTCATTTATGCCATACAAACTCAATTTTTTTGGGACAAGTCAAGTTGTTAATTCAATGCAAGATGCTTGGTTTTCCTTTTATTTATATCGAAACATCATCTTGGAACCAGGGGAGATGATAGTTGGACCTTCAAGAGCACTATTCATGGATGAAATATCAACTGGGTTGGACAGCTCTACCACCTTCCAAATTGTTTCTTGCCTCCAACAAGTGGCTCATATCTCAGAGTCTACCATACTGGTCTCTCTCCTTCAACCAGCACCAGAGACTTATGATCTTTTTGATGATATTATCTTGATGGCTGAAGGAAAAATTGTATACCATGGGTCTAAGAGTTGCATTATGAATTTTTTTGAATCATGCGGGTTCAAGTGCCCGGAAAGAAAAGGAGCAGCTGATTTTCTACAGGAGGTACATGAGAAAAGTATTATTAGTTCAAAAAGTCTTGACTAAACAGCGAAGTGAGATTGTTTAAAATGAACACTATCAGCATCAAGTACTTGTTGGAAATTAATGACTTGAAGTTTAAGTGTGTGTATTTGAGTTGGTGTGTATAGCTCCCAACTTGAAACAACATGAGTTAATGGTTTATTTGATAAGATATTGGAGAAAGAAAAGGAGAAATACAAGACACTTGAGCCATGCATTTTATCTAAATTAGTCAGGCATGATAAGAAGTGCATATTTGAGCTTTCATAATTCTAATAGAATCTACCATGTCAATTGTCCTACTTAGGGATTTCGTTCGATGCAATATGGATAAACTAAATTGGACATTTTAGGTTCTATAGTATTCCAAATAGCCATTGTTTTATAGAGACATGCTCTTTTACTTAGTCTCTGCATTTTGTATAATGTACTTACAATGTTGGTACAAGTTCAAGATACAACTTTTTAATATTAAGCAGTTAAGTATTGGTTAGTATGATGTGTCTTTGACTTTCTTATTATTATTTCTCTTCTAAACTTGCGTATAGGTTTTATCTAAGAAAGACCAACAACAATACTGGAGTCGTACTGAGGAAACATACAACTTTGTTACTATTGATCACTTCTGTGAGAAATTTAAAGCATCTCAAGTTGGTCAAAATCTTGTTGAAGAGCTTGCGAATCCCTTTGATAAATCAGAAGTATACAATAATGCTTTGTCCTTAAATATCTACTCTCTAACCAAGTGGGATCTCCTCAAGGCATGTTTTGCAAGGGAAATTCTTCTCATGAGAAGAAATGCCTTCATCTACATAACAAAAGTTGTTCAGGTAAGGAAGTAGAAATATCTCTTTTGGAGAAAATTTCAGTTCAAATGTTCATAGTTTTGAGAATAGATGAATGCATTCTATGATACAAAACATCCGGTTTTTGACACCTGATTTATGATGTTACACTCATTGTCACGTAGCTAAGTTTTCTCATGTTTACTATGTACAATTTAGGCTACATATAGTACTATATCAACACCAAAAACAATGGAGGTTGTAATATATCAAGGTTTCCAGTTGAAATTTGATATCTTTAAAATGCTTCCTATATTTCAATTGACACATGAATTATATTAACTTTGGCATTATTATTTTTTTCAAGGAATTGAGGTTTTTGTTAGAAGAGTGTATCTTGCATAATACCCTCCTCCGTTCCATAAAAAAATCAAATCCTAGCTATGAACCTTGTGTCTAGGTTCGTAGCTAGGATTGGTCCTTTTATGGGACATAGTAGTATATAATATAGTTGTTTAGAATTCGGATGAGCCAAAACTTTAGTTTTTGCATTTTCTCAACAAATTAACATATTACATTTTTTTCAGCTTGGATTACTTGCTGTTATTACTGGGACAGTGTTTCTACGGACACATATGGGGGTCGATAGGGCCCATGCTGACTATTATATGGGTTCCCTCTTCTATGCGCTCATTCTTCTTTTAGTTAATGGTTTCCCTGAGTTGGCTATTGCAGTTAGCAGACTTCCCGTCTTTTACAAACAAAGAGACTACTATTTCTATCCGGCGTGGGCTTATGCAATACCTTCTTTTATACTAAAGATTCCACTTTCTTTAGTTGAGTCAATAACTTGGACATCAATATCTTACTACCTCATTGGCTATACTCCAGAAGCATCCAGGTTAAATTACACTCTATTGTAAAAGTATTGTACACATGAAGTACGCATTTGACTGTATATATTATCAACTCTTTCCGGTTGTTCTTATGTGTGAACCTTTCATACCTACGAGGGCCACCATATATAGGGCAAACATTTTTCCAGTCTATTCAAGATATGCATAGGTGTATTTATTTTTACTATTTGGGTTTCAATGATGTTGGCTACCAAAATAAGACTACAGGATTTCTTTATATAAAACTATCTAGACTCTATTTTAGTGTTTATTCGTATTACCTCATCTTTAAGATGCAATGACTATGTTGTGTGTTAACATACTCAATTTCTGTGTTAGGTTTTTTTGCCAGCTCCTCATTCTATTCCTCGTCCACACTGGAGCATTATCGTTGTTTCGATGTGTCGCCTCATACTGTCAAACAATGGTGGCTAGTTCAGTTGGTGGTACCATGTCATTTCTAGTCATCCTTCTATTTGGGGGCTTTATCATTCCTCGGCGTAAGCCGCTGTCTCTTTTCCATAAGCCCTACTATGCTAACAAGACATCGTTCAGAATTTCTACTAATTCTTGTGTACATGGTTATGTATTAAACAATCATTGCTAATTAAAACCATGTGTGTCATATTTTACAGTATCTATGCCTAATTGGCTAAAATGGGGATTTTGGATCTCTCCATTGTCATATGCTGAGATAGGGTTGACTGGAAATGAGTTTTTGGCACCACGATGGCTAAAGGTACGTGTTGTTGCATCCTTAGCCTATCTTTTAGATAAGGTGAGTACCTTCTACTTAGATTCCAACATTAAAAGACTATTTTTTCTATGTTATTAGACCACAACGTCTGGTGTAACACTTGGAAGGAGGGTACTAATGGATCGAGGACTAGACTTCTCTAGCTACTTTTATTGGATTTCCGCCAGTGCATTGATTGGGTTTATTTTGTTGCTTAATGTAGGTTATGCCATTGGCTTGACCATTAAGAAACGTAAGTATGATATGTGAAATACCATTAAATAATACATCCCGAGCACTTCACTATCCATATTTATCAAAGCATATGTTCATGTTGATGTTTTTAAATAGTTCCATTCTCTCAAGCGTTATTCTGATACCATATGGACCTCAGCTACAGGAACTTCCCGAGCAATTATATCTCGTGATAAGTTTTCCACATTTGATAGAAGAGGCAAAGACATGTCCAAGGACATGGACAATAGGATGCCTAAGTTACAAGTAGGAAATGCTTTGGCACCTAACAAGACTGGTTAGTTCAATATATACATTCTATGACTAAATGCATCTCATATTAAATACATCAATAATGTGATCTTGTGCAGGGACGATGGTGTTACCTTTCTCACCACTTACAATATCATTTCAAGATGTGAACTACTATGTAGACACCCCCGTGGTAATTCTAAACTCCTAATAGTCAAGACAATTACTAGTGGAAGAAAATCATGCTTAGTTGTTGACTGTTATGAATTTCAGTAGTCAAAGAGAGCAATATATTCACTTGTTCTATTAGCATGTGCTTCATGGTTATTCCCATATATTTAGAAGTATAATAGGCTGAAATCAATGTTGAGTGTATTCTCAATTTTTAGGAAATGAGGGAGCAAGGTTACAAGGAGCGAAAGCTACAACTATTGCACAACATCACAGGAGCTTTCCAACCAGGGGTTCTCTCAGCACTCATGGGAGTTACTGGAGCAGGAAAAACAACTCTACTTGATGTTCTTGCTGGAAGGAAAACTGGTGGTGTTATTGAAGGAGATATACGAGTAGGAGGTTATCCTAAAATTCAACAAACTTTTGCAAGGATATCAGGCTACTGTGAACAAACCGATGTCCATTCCCCACAAATCACAGTGGAGGAGTCTGTTGCATATTCAGCTTGGTTGCGGCTACCAACAGAAGTCGATTCAAAAACAAGAAGAGTGAGTTATTTCATTGTTGAAACAAATTATAAAAAAATGAAATATACATGTGTAAATCAATACAAAAATATTATTACAGTGTAAATTGCATAATTGAGATGGAACTATGACCTAACACATACATATTTTTTTGCCATCATAGGAATTTGTTGATGAAGTTATTCAAACAATTGAGTTGGATGATATTAGAGATGCTTTAGTAGGACTACCAGGGGTAAGTGGGCTATCTACAGAGCAAAGGAAACGTCTCACTATTGCAGTGGAGCTTGTGTCCAATCCTTCAGTCATATTCATGGATGAGCCAACATCAGGCTTGGATGCACGAGCAGCTGCTATTGTCATGCGTGCGGTGAAGAATGTCGCAGACACAGGTCGAACAGTTGTGTGCACCATTCACCAACCAAGTATTGAAATATTTGAGGCCTTTGATGAGGTACTTTCAAGTTATTGTGTTACATATATAGCTCAATAGTCTTATCTAGGACTAACTATGAAGTGTAAAGGATAGCTCTCATGGAATAAAAAATACGCTTTAAAGTGGTCATACATTACATTAATTATTCATAGGAATTTTAGCAGACTTGTTCAACTACACACACCCTCTATTACTATATTAGATATGAAGAAAAAAATAATGATACATATTTGTACGTAAACTTACTACGTCAACAATACATGTAACATGATTACAATATAGGGGTATTTCAAGTTACAACTTCTATGGAGTATTCATTTACTTTTCTAGACAAAAACATCATGTTGATAACTCTACATGTCTTCATTACCAAAAGTTTCTTAATTTGCTATAGTACATAGATCTTTACGGCTTAATTTACTGGGCTAAGAGCATACAACTGTAACCTTTTTAAGCATTCATGGTGTTGGAGAAGTTAAGCATGAAATTTCCATATTTTTTTCAATAATAACGGGAGATATTTTGTGTATATTTAATGTGCATTAGTGATATTAAAATTCTTTAGTTTGCATGAGTAAAATAAAAGTGAAGTACCTTATAACTAATTATCTTAAATATGTATTTAGCTTATGCTAATGAAAAGGGGTGGAGAGTTGATATATGCTGGGCCTCTTGGACTCCATTCATGTAACGTCATCCACTATTTCGAGGTATCAATTAATAACTTGAACTTGTTCATTGTATATTGCTTGTACAAAAGTATCTAGCTATAAATAAAATTTGTTTCGTATCACCATTCATATTATGTGATGAAAACCAATTAAAGTTGACCTAGCTAGCTACATCTGATTTCATTATTTTCATGACCTATATGTTTTTAAGAAGTTACAAACTAATCACTAGTTATGATTTTTGTCTGCATTTCCAGTCCATTATTTTCTATCTAGCATCATGTGCATGTGCTATAATTAACGGATCCAAACTAATATATATTAAGTCTAAACTACAAAATTATATTCCATTAAATCCTTAACATGTGTGCATAATTATGAGGCAAGTTGACCAGAAATGTATGTACATATGCAAAGATGCAATACTTTCCTACAAAAGTTTTACAACAATACACATATTCCTACATATTTACAGCCATAAAGGTTTTTAAATGGGCGTGGGTGAAGAACATATCATCACCCTCAACTCTCTCTACGTATATATATAATTGGGTATTGTATATGTAGAGCGCGTTATTCGTATAAATCCATTCTCCAGATGTTGCATTTCCAATGTACATTGCATATGATGAAGCAAGCAATGTGGATATTTTGATTTCCTTGATAAATATATGTTTTTTTGTATTTTCAATAATTAATTTATTTATGTCACATTATTCTTACAATTCCCTTCTCCAAGCATCACTATTTCCAATGTACATTGTACATTACATATATATTACGTGTCATTAAAAATTTATTCTCTGGATGTCATGATTTCTAATGTCTGTAGTAGATGATGGGACGTGCAATATAATCATAAACACACTTCTTTTGAACCGTAGAATAAGAATATATCTTTTTTTTAACACACAAACATATTATTAAGCAAGAACAGAGTTTAGGGGATAAACCCCAGTACATTGCCAAAAGATAAGATATGAAAGCAAAGAGCCACCCTTTTGAAAAGGGAGGAGTACCTAACCTTTTCTCTTTGATTTTTCAGACAATTCCCGGGGTACCCAAGATCAAGGATAATTACAACCCATCAACATGGATGCTCGAAGTTACTTGTGCATCTATGGAAGCTCAATTGGGGGTAGATTTTGCCCAAATTTACAGGGAATCAACCATGTGCAAGTAAGTTTTTAAAAACCCATCACATTTGGATCTAGTGCCATTTATATATCCAAAACAAGTTACACATAAAATGCAATGGGGCTTGGGTGCCAAGAGTGGTCTTGATAAAATAATTGACCAAATGATACTTACGTGTGTCATCACGCCACTTGTAATTAACAATACTCTTACCTGTGGGAAAAACAAACTTGGTATGATGGTAAGTAATTGGTTATTGAAGGGACAAGGATGCTCTAGTGAAGAGTTTGAGCAAACCAGCTCTAGGCACGAGTGATCTCCATTTCCCAACACGGTTTCCACAGAAGTTTAGGGAGCAACTAAAGGCTTGCATCTGGAAGCAGTGTTTGTCATATTGGAGAAGTCCTTCCTACAACCTAGTGCGAATTTTATTCATAACAATCTCCTGCATTGTCTTCGGTGTATTGTTCTGGCAGCAAGGTGACATCAACCACATGTATGTATTGTGAACCATCACTATGTCCATCCTTGTAAATAGATATAGAGGAAGCATGTTCATATGCATATGATTGATATGATTTGCATTGATCCTTTTTTCATTTCTTTTTTTGTTTCCTTGGTGGGTAGAAATGACCAACAAGGCCTATTCACCATACTAGGGTGCATGTACGGCACCACTCTTTTTACTGGCATCAATAACTGCCAATCGGTGATACCGTTCATATCCATTGAGCGCTCTGTCGTTTATAGGGAGAGGTTTGCAGGAATGTACTCTCCTTGGGCCTACTCCTTGGCACAGGTATCTTATGTCCTCAAGACCTTAACCTTATATGTAAAAGACTTAGTTGTATTATGCTTGGGCTTAATATGACTTTCTATTTGTTATTCATTTTGCATCTTGGGGCTGGCTGGAGTAGGTTGCAATGGAGATCCCTTATGTGTTGGTGCAAATATTGTTGATCATGTTCATAGCTTATCCCATGATAGGGTATGCATGGACTGCAGCTAAGTTCTTTTGGTTCATGTACACCATAGCGTGCACGCTGCTGTACTTCCTCTACTTTGGAATGATGATAGTGTCACTCACCCCAAATATCCAAGTGGCATCTATATTGGCATCCATGTTCTACACCCTGCAGAACCTCATGTCTGGCTTCATCGTGCCTGCACCAGTAAGCAAAACCATCATCTCACCTGAATAATTATTGCTTAATAATGTAAGTATGTATACATAGCATTACAAAATGCATAAATATATGGTTTACTGATATGGCAGCAAATTCCAAGATGGTGGATATGGTTGTACTACACTTCCCCATTGTCGTGGACACTCAACGTTTTCTTTACCACACAATTTGGGGATGAGCATCAGAAGGAGATTTCTGTATTTGGAGAGACTAAATCTGTGGCCGCCTTCATTAAGGATTACTTCGGTTTCCGCCATGACCTACTGCCACTAGCAGCCATAATTTTGGCCATGTTTCCCATCCTGTTTGCCATCCTTTTTGGTCTCAGCATCTCCAAGCTCAACTTCCAAAGGCGATAAATAGCATACAAGTGGCATATGACATGCTTCATTCCTTTGGCACATATACATAAATATACAATTGGGCACACCAAGATTCTATACTCACTCCAATGGTGTGGCATTGAACCTACCACCTCTCCTAGTTCTTAATATTACATAACAACTAAATCTAAATGGATAGCCCTATTTCCTATAGGAAAAATGTGGGTAACACATTTCATGAAAAATATGATTTATTTATTTTAGAAAATATTGTGATATTTTTCATTTTATCCGTAGCAAAGCACGGGCATTAGCTAGTATTTAGAAAGTTGTTCATGAACCTTTGGTCCAATCATTTGATGAGAAAAAGAAACAGATAAATTTAAAAGGAGTAAAACTTAGCAAACCCCATGTTTTATTTCAAAGTTGCATAAAACCCTAGATATTATGACCAGTGGCACATAACCCTAGGTATTATGGTTGTAAAGTTTCACAAACCTTACTCTATGCACTTTAAAACATAGTGTATTTGAATTGTTTTTAATTATTGAGTTCTTGACTAAGGTTGATAGTTTAACTGTTTGCTACTTTGAAAGATATCGTTTCAGATATGGTTAAATTAATCAAGATTTAAATAAAGATGGGGTTTTACAAAATTTAGACCATAAAACCTGTGGTTATATGCGACAAGTGACCATACCAGTGGTTTTCTACAACACTGACAATAAAATATAGGGTTTTCTAAAATTTACTAGTTTAGAAAGTTAGGAAGGGTTGAGAAAAAGGTGTACCAAGAAATCCAAGGGATAATCATAATTCTATACTCAAACATGTTAAATTCCTAAAATTTTACAAAACACCCATTTTTCATGTTGTAAAGATATTTTTTTTACTCTAATTAAGAGATAGATATAGAGCTTTCCCTTATTTTTTTTTCTTTTTTAACTATCACACATTTGCATGGACGACATGTAATAGATACATACTCCCTCTGTTTCACAATGTAAGTCATTCTAGCATTTCCCAAATTTATATTGATGCTAATGAATCTAGACAGACATATATATCTATCTATATTCATTAGTATCAATATGAATGTGGGAAGTGCTAGAATTGACTTACATTGTGAAACGGAGGAAGTATCTTTTTCCATGTGTATTTACTTGAACTTTTGGACTAGTGTACTCGTATTAAGAAGTGTGTACGATTAAAAGTAGGATTGATATGCCGTAATATCTCATACTAGTAAAGCAAAGGCAAAATATTGTGGACAAGTGGGGTGTCATGAAAATCGTAAAGTATTAAGGGCTCATTGGATCATGGGAATTCTTCTAATTCTATAAAAATTAAACCAATTGCTATAAAAGTCCATAAATTTTCTAATGTTTCAAAACACACCCATAAAATTTCTAAGTCCATATAATATTAGCATAGTAAAAGTGAATAAACAAAAATGACCAAAACCGCAGCATCGTATCTCTACCCCTAGCATTCTCTAGCAGTATGAGAGTTTACCTTTCCCATGGATGGCCGGATACTGACCCTGGTGGTACATCAATTTCCATCAATTTTTAACAAATTCCAATGGAATTTTGTTAAAATTTACTATTTTAAATTTTAATTTCTCAAAATATATTTAAAATTTGCTTCGAAACATGATTATGTCCCGTCTTGAAATCTCAAAATTTTACCGGTTTTTACTTTTCCCCTTCGAAACATGGACCCTGAGAGCGGAGAGGGATTCTAATCATTTGGGTGGACGTCCACTCTTTTATCGCATGTCAACTAAATAGTTATGAAAATTTTTTTATATCAGTCCATAAACATTTAAAGTCAAATTCGATTTCTACATGTTACAACAAAAATAACAAAATAAACTTTAATTGGTATATGCATATTCGCAGTCAAAATTATTATTTTTATTACAATTTGTACTTGTTTGTTGAGCAATATATTACATATTAGTCTACCGTATCATTTTTTTGATTTTTTTATAAACCCTAAACCCTACATTATTAGTTGATATATGATAAATGAGTGGCCGTCCGCTGAAGTGATTATTAAAAACTACTGCTCTACTCTATGCTTTTAGGCAGACACCTGCTGCCTTGAAGAACAAAGTTAAAAAAGTGTATACCATTGTCGCAGAGGGGTGTGAATCTCAGCCCCTCCCTCTATAACCACGTAGCTAGCCCATCCGACAGGTGGACCCACTTACATATACCACCCACTTATATACACTTTCATCCTCGCTTCATGTAAAATAGTTAACCTGAGAGTAATATAGTTGGAGAGAAAAGACCTTATAAATTGGTTCCAACATTGCTAAACAAGGTGGTACTAAACATGAGCACCCAACTCTCATGCGCCACACATGCCAAATCCTAATTAGGCCAGGATGTTACACGCAGCGAGTTTGTACGGTGAGTGCGTGAACTCATAATGTGTTCATGATATCATCACGAGTTCGTGCGACTAGGGCGCGACTTCGCATGGAGAAAAATGGGTGGATGCGAACTCACGGCACTGCAGATCGCATGATTAAATAATTAATTAGCATCACTAGAAATTAATTAATTGGTGGTTATTTCTATTGTTATTAGCATTTAATTAACCGCTAATTCATCGTCAACAATTTAGTAGGCATTTCGCTGTTCAGCCAAGCAAACTCACGCGGGGCCAGATTTTTTTTTATGTTTTAGACCTTTAAAATAAATAAATTTAATAATAGACCTCCTAGGAACTTATTTTTAAAAATGAACCTTTTCGCCACTGTTGACAGTCGTTAGCGATTAGTTTTGACCGTCAATATTACCAAAATAGAGGAGAACTAGTTATGCTTGCAATGCATATTCATGTTAGAATCATAATATTCCACTAGCATTTGGTTTACTAACCTTTTGCAGAGAATAACTATAAAGTGGATGAAAATCGACATCAAACCAGATAATAAATCAATCGGATGATGTCGAGAATCAAACTTATGTATGAATGGGCCAATAACTCAGAATTGACACGATGAACTGGGCCAAAATTCACAAGTCTACATATGAGAGCAAAGGAGGAGGCCACCTGCCGATTTTGGGCCAGGTCGGCCCAGCCCTTGGTTCGGCCGAACCCCCTCCCCCCCTCGCAGCGCCACTTAATCCAGGGTTCTCCTGGACGGCTGAGATGACTCCCCAATGACGATTGGTGAGTATTACCGACCTTTCCAACCGTCACAACCGTCATTCTCAAGCTATAAAAGGTGCTCTCATCCTCACTTCACACACACCCCTCAAGCAAAGCTCTCTCATATTCTCTCAAGTTTAGTTTAGTGTTCTCAAGCTAGTGGAGTAGAAATAGAGTAGAAATCGGAGTGTGGAAGAATTCGGAAGAGTTCGGGTATGCCTCTAGTAGCTCTTCTCTTCTCTTTTGTAAGCTCTGTACTTTATTTAGAATACTCTTCTATATACATTTATGGTATTGGAATACTTTCTGAGTATATGAATGTCAACTTTACATTATGTTCATGTTATACTGATTATACTGCTAGCTTATCTGGGAGATGCATCGGTACGGGTATAGTGTTTGCTTATGCAATTACTCTATGTCATGACGATGATATTAGAGTAGTATCTGGTAGTTTAGGTGTGGTGTCTAGATTACGAGATATCATTATTTGGGGTTATGTGCTACGAATGAGAGGTGGGCCTCTGATGGTGACAGCTCAGTACGGGTATTCCTCCGCGCGTGTATATAGTCCTAAGTTAATTTCCTGGGGAGGGTACTCCTCCGTATTTAGCCCCGGTTGTATGGTCATAACGGGTTGTCGTAAGGAACTCGGTAGTCAGGGGTGGCTTCTCGAAGTACCAGGAGGGCATCAGATAGAGGGTATTAGCTAGTATGTCAGATAACTATGATGCATGTATACTATGTATACTAGAATTATAGGAATAGATTCTCTTTCTCTTTTCTTTCCACTTAGCATAGATATTTTAGTATGAGAATGAGTAGCTTCCTGCTTGTGTGTCACTCTACCCTTGGATTATCTTAACCCTTGCTTAGACTATGATTATTACAAGTAACATATAAATTATTAGTCAGATTCTCTCTACTATAATCTTCCTACAGGATTAAACAAATACGATACCCTTGGAATACTTTCGGGTGAAATGCTACAATGGTATATCCGTGCGCTTGTGGATGAACTTTGTAACCATAATATACCAAGAGTATTTCTGCACAATTGCTGGAAATTATGTTTCTAGTAATGTCGTAAGAAATACCAACAGCCATGCCATTGGTTATGGCGTGGCAAAAATTGCCTCATGGTAGTCGTTGCCGTTGAAAAGGTCAATCGGGCGCTGACGTGGCTACTTCCATGCCCGGCTTGTTGGTGTGGCAGTGCAAAAAGCCCAGCTATTTTATGTTTCTGAAGAAAAAAATTATGATAAGAAAATTTCATGTGTTAGGAATATTTTTATTAATATCATGACAATTGCTTGTTTATGGTGAACATGCCAAGTTTGTATTTAGAAAATTGGTACTAAAGATCGGATAAAGTATCTGTAGTATTTGTGAGGTATTCCTAGAAAACTTCGTGCGGTTTTGATGGACTTGATTTATCTGTTGAAGATATGAATGGTTCAAGCATTGTCAATTCCTTATTCCTTGTTTTCGCTTCAATTTGGAAAGATGGAAATGACTAAATCCGGCACCACAAAAAGCAATCACCTGAATGCTAGTTGGAGCAATATCGTGATAGGATGGAGGAATAAGAACGCAAGTAGAAGGAAGAAAATGCAGTAGGACGTGGATGCAACTTTATTAATAAAAATAAAATAGATCCATTAATGTTCGATTCGTGAACCATACAATAGCAGAAACCATTAGGAGCATACGAAAATAAAGCTAAATCGTCACATTGAGGAATGATACAGGTGTTGACGGTTGTTAAGTACCAAATTAACGCCGTCAATACCAGCATAAGACCCTAAATATAAAACATCCAACATAGTGATAAGGCTTATTTCTAACCATTTCCATGAGTGTTGGTGTATATTTAGATGCAGGTGACGAACCACCAAAGTTGAGACAAAAGATACATAGAGGAGGAGGTGAATTAAACTTCCATATTCAAGCTTATGGAGTTTTGGACCCACAAACCGAATGAAACTCATTCAAATGGGCCAAATGCAACTACATTTGGGCTGAGGGGTTCTCCACCAAAGCCCACGAGAAAATTCGGAGCAAAACGGGCCAGCAAGGGTTTGGCCGAACCCGTAGCTGCGCCATTCGGCCCTAAACTTCACATGCCGTCAGTTGCCGACTTGTTATGACGGTTTCTACCGACTTTACCTGAATAACCGTCATCAGCTAGACACATGGCAAGAGGAGAGTGAAGATGCCATTTAG